CGTAAGTATCCACTTGTGGTTTTCTCTATGAGCTGGTCGCGTATCATGTCGTCCGTTAGATCACCGAAATTGCATGCTCCTACAAGACTTCTCAGCGCGGTGACGTAATCAGCCGCAGTCTCACCTGGGGCCTGCGTACGTTGACGGAAACGGTGACGCGCTGCAGTGACGTTCAACGTGGTTTTGAAGTGACCTTCCAGCGTCGCGATGGCGCGGTCGAACACATCAGGACTAGGGGACGTTAGTGTACCTGCCGCAGCGCTCGCAGGCACGAGGCACGGGTCGTCAGTAGTCGTCAGAGTCTGGAAGATACGTTGTCCTTCCAAGCCCAAGCAGTTGAGCAGGATCGCCTTCCGACGAATGGCAGGTAGGTCGAAGGCGCCCGAAGCAACCATGTAATTCTTGAAAGCCTGGATCCATTGCTCCCATGGAATGTCCGGGTGTCCAGGTGACGACAGGAACGGAGGTGGCGGCTGTAGCCCCGAAATACTCATCGTAGAAGATGGTAGGCAATAAACGAGGGCACAGATGAGGTTCAGGCCGGTAGCACATGGGCTGGTGAATCCTCGTCGCCAAAATATGTTACATCGTGCATAATGAATAGCACAGCATAAACGGAGACATCTTGTTTATTTCCTCTTCTTCCTTCTCCCCCGTGGCGGCCACCGAGCGCGTGCCACCGCACAGCGCTGTAGTCGGTAGCGACGCCTTATACCACAACCGGGATCACGGGGGTGGGGCATCGTCAGGTATGTCGTGGCTTGAGCTACAGATGGAGACGCTGAAGCATGGCTGAAGAGTTGTTGTTATTGGTAGCCATGGCCGGAGACTGAACGGTGCGGCCACTGCGAAGCTTCGTGGTGAGGACGGGGAACGTTCCACCTCCACCAAATATGTTACGCAAAAGAAGAGATGCCGTATCGACGGGGCTGTGGACTAGATGTATTTGAAACCAGCGGTAATGGCGTGACCAGTTTACCAGCGATCGAGCTTGTTTATTTGTTTCCCTGGACTGATGGCTCATACCCACTCAGGGGGATTGGTCAAGAAAGCGTAGTGTAGTTTTTCTGTGAACATTTTAAGTATGAATGAATTTGTATTATAATAGGACTAATGTAAGAAAAACCACATAAAAAGAGAGCAAACGAGAAGAAAAAATAGAAAAGTCAAGTTTAAAAACTTTGAGATTTCAGGTGTTGTGAATACCACTCAGCTGCGTTTACTTCACTTTGCCATATAGAATTTTTGGGGGAGTATTAAATAATAATTATTTGATTGAAGATCACAAAGGTATATGCTTGGTTGCCTGAATATAATCGCAAACGGCATTGAAAGCATCCCTGTGGCAACGTCCTAAAACTGAGGCACCAAAGCTTAGTGCAGTTTCCGCCGTCAATCTAACGCCTATTTTCAGAAATGAAATAACCAGTAACCTTTTTCGAAGTATAGTGTATCGGCGACAATACAAAAAATAATGTTCTAGTGATTCCATTTCTCCGCAGGATGCGCAGAGGGGTGATGTCTGACCAGCTCTGTGTAAAAACAGGTTTAGGGGGGGAGGGGGGACATGACATCGAAATTTAGTACTTAAAACTTCGAGCTTTCTGGACTGGCTCCAGTGGGTCGCCATGGAAACTTGAGGTGGTTATATTCTGTCCATGTAGTTACTTTTTCTATCGTATCAGAGGAGATTGCTGATTTTCGATATCTTATTGCTGTAATATATTCAACATCTGGCAGTATGGATCAAACTGGGCCATCAAGTGCGGCTCGTGCTAAGGAATCGGCTAATTCATTTAATCTAATCCACAGTGTCCCGGAACCCACAGTAACCTCGGGAGTCTCAACTGTGGGGGTACTAATGTTTTGAATGTCTTTAGAATTCGAGAGTTCTCTGTAGCTGTCAGAGCTGCGCAAACTGAAGGAGAATCCGTCATTATGACTGTGTTGTTGTGATTTGACGGAAGTTTTCGAAGAGCTAAAATAATCGCCACGAGTTCCGCTTCAAAAACTGGAGTAAAATCAGGCAGTCTCACTGAAAAGGACCAGTCAAGCAAATCAGAGGCAATGCCTACACCTGCCTTTTGATTATTTACTGAAGCATCTTTGGCTATCATATTTTTAGTTTCTGCATGCTCCAAGCAATCTCATAATATGTTATTTAAAATTTTGAGAGATCGTAACTTGGTGTTTGTGGGGAATATATCATCATACTCAATTATAACACGACAACTCGAGTCATTAGTCTCAATTACATATGTTCGCATTTATACTTTGTATATTCTTTTGTACAAACATTATCTGAGGTGTGTGAAACCGGGGCCAATGAGCAAGAAAGAAGGCGTCAGGGTTAGCGATAAAAGCATATTGAGATCTTCTTGCCGGTAAGCTATAAAATTTTAAAAATGCTTGTACGGTCAAAATGCGAAATCGACAAAGTAGTGTAGGCAGGCGCGCTTCCTGGTACAGTACGTTGATAGCCACAAACCTAGAGAGTCTCAGACACATTCGCAGTGCTTCTCGCTCCAAGACAAGTAGAGGTTTTTTTTCATAAGCAGGGCCACGCAAGAATAGTGTACATCCGAATTCCATGATGGGGCACATGTACATCTTGTACAACATTATCAAGATGTGCCTCCGTAACCCACATTTCCGGTTACATAGCTTGTGCAGTAAGCCTGAAACCCGCTGTGGCTTGGTAGTTATATACTCTATGTGTGGACACCAGTTAACTTTGTCGTTATAAATTATTCCCAAATAGCGCGGAGACCACCCTTCGTCTTCCTCGTCAGGCACACACGTGCGTCGCCCCCTAGAATCTCAATATGCATGCATGTAGCAATATTCTGGGTTTGTTGTGCAGCTCTTTTCAAGGGAGGAATCTATAAGAGTTTATAGAAACAGACATAATACAAGAAAATAGCAAGGTGAATTCCTTAGGCTAATAGCTTGCCGATGTCTCAATGTGTAAAAACATTTTCGCATGACATCGCCATCGTTGAACTGTATTTCTCCAGTATTGCACTGACAGCCACAGTGTTTGAAACACTGGCACTAATTCTAGGTGGTTGATTCACAAATGTGATAGGATCTTGTGTAGACCTCTGATGGTATTATTGCTGCAAAAGCCTGCAAAGATGGCACTTAAGCAAAATACTTATCCACCAAATTGATTAATGTGCATCAGCGTTACTGAGAAAGCTTGTCAATTTACTCTCTCAATTAGACAAAAGAAATAGATCATTTCACTATTTTTTATATGCTTGCGTTCTTTCAAAATATGCGCATACAAGCTTGGAGCTTTTAACTCAATAAACACTACACTCCATACTGAGTACATTTTATAAGATTGTGCACAAGATGTAATCTTCTTTGGTTGCATGTAGTATATGTGTACAAAATTATGAAAAAGAAAAAGTGTTGCTACCACACTATAAAACTTTTCATTTAATTTCTATCTATGTATACAATAATAGTTTTCTGTAACAGTTATATTCAAACCGGATTGAAATTTTCACACTTTGAACACAGATAAAAATTTGTCCTAATTGATCAACTCTTTACATGACAGGAATATAAATAAAAGCCAGAAATAGTGGGCTTGGGGATGGAAGGATCAAAGCACTGCACAGATTTTCATGCAATGCATTAACAAGGCCATAGTTCTGAGCTTGCCTGCAGTAGCCATGTTCTCCAAATTCAATGATATTGTTGATGTAAAAACATTGAATACAGTTTTATTATTTATCTACGAGCTCAGTTCCTTGTACTGATGACAAAACACAAATCTCGTGAATTTGCCATGCACTCAGCAAAACATAATATTTGAAATGAAAGAGGAATATGTAATAAATGAAAAATTATAAAATACAAGTTCTAATTAACTAACAAGTGTTGTTGTCCTGAGCAGTACTGTCTTATATTCCATTTGATTGCATTTATTTATGTGGTATTGCTGTGCAGCCAAGGTGCCAGAGATGAATTATGGTTGGCCAAAGTGGTTGGCGAACCAGTTCAATGTTGCGAATCATTGTAAGTTTTCATTTCTCCTAAATAGAACTGAATGAAAATGAAATTGAGCTTGTTGGGTCAAACTGACCCCTCTCTCTTATTATTTTGTTTTGACATTCTGCTTAAATCAGTCATTTTTGAATTCTTTTAAATAACTTTAGTGTCCTTGTATGAAATGATTTTCACAGCCAAGAATGACATTTAATTTGTTTTACTATTTGAGCTTGTGGTGAGCTTGTTACGACAATCGTGAATTTTTTTGTCACACATATAGCGCTACAGGTACTCTAGGATTATTTGATGCGCCAGTTGAACCCCTTAATTTCGTTAGTCACGCGGCACTACAGTGATACGCGCTGCAGATATCCACATGTTACTTCTGAATCGTTTACATGCGAGCGCTAGATACCATAAAAACGCGTGGTCTTAAAGCACGTACCGGTTACGGTTAGATAGGAGCAACAGACAAGATAACTCTTCCCTTGTTTGTCGCTTCGATCATTATACGTGCACGTCCCGTCCTGCCGCGCAGTTTTTTCTGGTGATGACCGCGTACCTAACGCGTACCAACTTGCACAACTATTCAGCGCTAGTTATGGTTGGGCGTTGTGTGCCTCACGCGTCCCACACTTAACTACGCGCAGTGCACGAACTCCTTCACTATTAGCAGCGTTTAGCTGCAGTGTTTTAAACATCGAAGTAAAGAAATAAAAAACTTCAAATGTCGCGCGTAATTTTGTACACAGTGTTGCTTATTTAGTATTTGACTTGGTTGTTATTGGCTGCATTTTCTCGCAACCGTCGCTGACCTAAATTGAAGTTTTAGCAACAAGTGTGACAAAAACTAAAAGCGCCACCAAAACTTTGAAGACGCGTTTTGCCTGAATAATACGCTTTCAGGTTTTTTTACCCTGTTGCGTGTTTCGGAAAAGGAAGTGTCCAACGTTGCCAGTAGCCGCATCGAGCGCGTAGGTGGGCGCGCCGCAGCTGGTTGTTGCGGCTGTGCGCGTTTGAGAAGCGAAAGTGTGTACCGTTTCACTTATGTCATGTGCTCGCCACATCTAACCTAAATGAGAGATGTCTTCGACCAAGTACGCTAAGCTCGAGCAAGACTACCAGAAGCTCGTCAGCGAGGTGAGCCGGCTCTTTTTGTTTACCCCGGCGTGAGGCCACGAAGCGAGGCGATTCCGGCACACCCGTACGAACGCCGACAACAGCTGCGCGATGTCACGGCTTTGCTATCGCCGAGCGCTGCTTATATACTGACGGAGTTTTTGCACAGCTTGCCGCTAAAAGCAGGCTGGAATTCCGATGGCTGCGTGTTTGATGGTATCCAACGCACATCTGTTAACTGTTCCGTAGCATGCGAGCATATTATACCGTAGTGTGGATCGATGTGCTAAAGCTTGTATTCTGCAGCCTCGGGGCTTACGAAGGGCATCGCGCTGCTGCGATACTTAGTACTCGTAGGGCTCATACACGTATGAACTTATTCTGTTAACCTTTTAATCACAATGAGGATCGAGCGCCTGTGTTTCGTTGGATATCGCACGCGCATGTGGGATTTGCCTTTTTTTTTTCTTTTTACTATCAGAATGTTTCAAAGAGAAGTGTAACTGTGGTTTTGAAGATATATGAGAGAATTGCCGGCATACGTGGTTCTTCTGAAATGTTAATTAAGGAAATATCTAGGAATTGTATTCGGTCATTCTGAAACAATTCTTCAGTAAAGTTCAGGCCTCCTCCATTTAATTCAAATTATTTACTCAGTGGTGCAACTATACAGGGTCAAAGTCATCAACACTACAAAAATCACGCACTCGTCCACGTACCGAAAAACCTTAATAATAAGGCGTCCTCTAAACATTTGTTGATCTCGCGAAGGTATAAATCACTAAAAATCATTGCAACATTAGACTCAATGCTAATTTATGATATCTGCACATAAATTCCTTCTTTTCAACCTGTCATCGTTGACTTTAAAATGCATTGTAAAGGATTAAAAGAAAAACTTCATAGACACTCCACACTTATCAGGGAAACTGCTTTCTGCACTTGTCCATTAGTAAAATCTTTAACACACTCTAAAAATCCTCCATGCAGCAAGGAGCATTAAATGTCTTCAATATTCATACTCAAAATTTTACAACTACCAAGGTTGTTCTATGAGAGAAACTGAACAAGTGTTTTGAGAATTATATGCTGTCTTGACTTGCTCCTGAGGTCCATGTTTGCACGCTCCGTCTCTATAACATGAATACTTGCCAACCAGCTCAGCTCTTCATTATTATAATGTATGTGCTGTCAGTAAACTTTAACTAAGTCCATAATTGGCCTGGTTGGTGCTGCATGGTAGACAAAGAAAGTGCTTAACAGTGCAAACGACAGGAGGGAATAGAAGAGACGAGAACAGAGTGCTGAACTCCAAATCCAAACCTGGACAAGGTGGAGCTGCTTAGCCTCGTAATAAGAACCGTTGGACAAGCAAAAGATGATGAAATTAGTCGACTCATCCAGGAGGGAGTCGAGTGCCTTCCTTGCGCAAGATGTCAAGACGGCTCGACAACGGTCTAGTGCCGTCGTCGCCAGCCTACGAAAGCCTGACGTCGAGTTTCTCCAATCTGATAAGGAAGGAGGGCTTGTGCTCACGTCGAAGCTTTTGTATGACAGCAAGGCTGAAGAAGCCATGCGAAAGAATTTCAAGTTGCTCCCAGCCATCAAAGGAACTAGAGTGAGGACGCAAGCGGCAAAACTGTGCGACGAAGTGGGGCTAACCACTTTGGTAAAATCCATAAAAAGGGCAAAAGGCCTTTCGGTCTTTTCAGTGAAAACACACAAAGAAGGCAATTCTTTCAGAGCCATCATCTCTGAGCGCGGTACTTGGCAATATCCTGTTGCACTGTATCTTCAGAGGTGTCTAGCAGTCCTGCCCATTGATGACCCCTATCGAGTCAAGAACCCAATCACCATCAGTGATTACCTCCGGACTGAGTGCTCGAAACGAGTAAGCGCCTTCTCTGTTGATGTCAAGGACTAGTTTTATTTTTTACCTCATTATCTTGTGTGCGATAAAGTTAGCCAGTGCATTGAGCATTACGGTGGCACCAAATTTAAGAATGCATGTGGAATTCATGTTCACAGGTTTTTAGTACTACTGTGCTTTTATCTACTTTCGACCTTTTGTACTTTACAAGGACTCCTTCTACACTCAGCGGGAAAGACTGTGCATTGGCTCATATTTAGCTTTGGTTCTTTTTACTCGTGCGGTGTGACAGAAGTATCAGGGCTAACCTTCATCAGACAAGCACAGTTGAACTGTTCCGCTACATTGGCGACTTTTTAGTGTTTTACCGCATCGACCAATTTGACCCTCGGCGAAACACCGGTGAGATATTTGACATATTTTGGCATGAAATGCAGCAGCTAGAATTAACATTGAAGCTTATTTCTGACGACAAGTTATGATTGTTTGACTTAGAAATGCTTTTTTTTTGGTGGACCATGTCTATTGGCGGTACGAGCCACGCGCAAAGAAAAGCTTTCTTCCTTTTATGTCCGCACATTATAAGCTAGTCAAGCGTAGCATCGCTTTTTTCGGCCTAAAAGCAGCTCTAACTCGCTCTTGTCACCACCAGATAGAATGCAGTTCTTCACACCAAGTTCACCGTCTCTAACAAGCAGGCCTTCCTAATTCCCTGCTAACTTCCATCGCCGAGACTATCCTTACGTCACTAGGAGTGTCTAATAAGGGACAAAGCAACAGCTTACTCAACAAGCCTCATTCTAGCACGGCTGTCATTCCCTTCGTACACGAAGTTTCCTATAGGCTAAAACAAGGTCACTGGCAGAATAGGTGTAAGAGATGTGTTCTGCGCACGCGCCAAGCTCGCTGGGCTATTTCGCAGGGTCAACAGTGAAGGACCTAAGAAAGAAGCATGCAAAAAGAAGCATGCTATGCGCGATGTTGAATGTGTTTTAGCGTTTGTATACAAGGTATTGTTTACATCTGGGCTCTGTTACATTGGCCAAACAGGCCAATGCATTAATGATCGGTTGAGGGAGCACGCGTATTGTCTAAAAGGCTCTGTTCCCAGCTACTTGACAGACCATTGTAAAAAGTGTGGTTGTCAGCAAATTCTTGACAAGTGTGCGATTATGGGGCGATATAAAAATCAGCGTGAGCACAAGATTAGTGGTGCCTTCCGCATTCAATAATCTGGTGCTTCCTGTGCTAGTGGACCTTCGATTTTTATTCATAGCTGTGAAATTATTTATCTAGGGTCCACTGATATGAGTGGCTCTTGATAAGGTAGGCCGTTTGGCCCATGTATGTGCCATTTTGCTGATGTTACGTGGTTATGCGCAGATTCTGTTTTCCTATATATTGCTGTTTGCGATAAAATTGGTTTGCAATAAAATTTGGTTATTAGTTCAGTGCTTCATTCTCGTCTATTCTATCCTCTCCAGTCGTTTGCGCTGTTAAGTTCTTTCTTCATCTACCGTACTGTCAGTAAAATGATGTACAGTTGAAACTCGATTCAACAAAGTGATGACCATGCGGGAATTGAATCATTACATCAGGAAGTTCATAATATCGAGTAAGCAATGTTTTAGTGTGTTGATACCTCACATTTCAATGTAGCAAGACCCAAAAGCGACCATGGCAATGCTTTTTCTATCAGCCAATGGAGCAAAGGCAGCTCAAACATGGAGCTTCATGTGACAAACGAATGTAGTGATGGTGCGTGCTGGTTGAGCAAAAGAGGTGCGAGGAGACGGTCAGTGCGATCTATCGCATAAACCATGAAAAAAGGAAAGTAGCCTCCACCATTGTCCCTAAGTTCAATTGGTACTCAAAGACATCGTCAACTATTGAGTCTTTTGTACCATGCAAGGGTGTGGTGTGTAGCCTCATCAAAATAAAGCCAGAGCCATGACTAGGGCACCCAGATCAGTGGTCTCAAATACACGGCTGTTGTGGTGCCTATTGCCTGTTGACGTTTTGCTAGCTGCCCACAGCCTCACAAGGAATAAAATGCTTCTTTTTTTGCTCAATAGTACACACATTGTTTACATACCCATTGCGATTAATTATGTTTTGTTCAGGTAAGCGATAGAGGTGGGACTGTTCTCAAGCATTTCTTTTTCATGGGGGGCCGCATGCAGTCACCACGTGCTAAAAGTAACTGTGGAACAACATGTCTGTACTTCACTGTTATTGTCGATAATAATCATTCTCCAGATGACTATCAGTATGTTCCTTGCATCCTGACTTCCAAATCCTCTTCGGAAATGACCCGTACAATATAAGATGTGGGTTTCTTCAAAGGGAAGCTTTAGGTAAAATTCCATTCACTCCCCCCCACCCCACCCCTCTGCTTTAAGCTTCTTTATGGTCCTGGCCCTGTCTCAGGACCATGTCTCATGACTGCGGGTGGCTAGTTACCCTGAGCTTGAACCTAGATGGTTCAACAAGATAGCATTAGAAAGTAAACACAAATAAAAACCCATCTTGTGTCAAATTTGAAAGGAATTTGCTCGGCTTTTATATTCATTTATTTCAGGAAAAGCTTTGTTAAATTGGATGGGGTGGTCAAGTTACTTTGTTAATTTAGGTTGATGACAACACTGAATCATAATCGTGCCTTATGGTGATTAAAAATTTCTTCGTTAGATCAGGAAGTTCGTAATACACTCAAACCTTGATATAACTAAATATAGGTTATAACGAAGTAAATGAAAAATAGTCTTGCAATATCTATGGTGTTAGGAACATACCTTTATAATAAGTTTTTGGATTTAACAAACTTATTTTCGTGCAGGATGCAACTTTGTTATATTGGAGGTTTGAGTGTATCGTGTTTCATTGAATCAAGCTCTATCTGCATGGAGGCATAAAAGCTGCAGTTTAAATTTTGCCATTATTCATTATATCAATGGGATTACATTACTCATATTTTTATTGATGTTAGGCAGAACAGGACATAGGAAAATTGTTTCTTTTAGAAGAAGGCTGTGTGCGTGTATGACTGCATATTTTGTTTAGATTGAGCAATGTTTATTATGTTTATTTCGAAGGAGAAATAAAAGTTATTGGGGAATTAGAATTTCCTAGCAGCTTATTGGGCTGAGACAAATACAACGAGGTTGTTACAAACATATATCTATATATGTTCATAGGCACATACCTATAGAGATGTGCCTGGCCACAACTATTCACAATTTTTAATCTAGTATTACTACATAGTAGTGTAACAAAAGGTCAAGATCTATATTTGTATCAATGTGTGTTCTGAGACTACATTTTTTGTGGCTGAACACCTTTGTGAACCGGAACCAATGTTGGAAGCCAAACTAATTGAATCGATATTCCTAATTGACTTATTTTTATCAAACAGCTTTTGGATTCGGAGACCATGTGTTCTTTGGGCTCATTAAGCCCAATTTGTCATCGACCAATAAAGCTTCTATTTTGACGAAAACGACTCAGGCTAATAGAAACATGCCAAACTTCTAGTTTATGACGATAATGTCGTCAAACCAACTAATGGCTACCCTGTTGCATCTGCTACTCTGATTCATGCAGTCGGATTTGCATAGTGCCAGGTTTTGAACCATGGTGTCAACAACTTGTGGCTTTTTCAACTGCAATATCTTATTGACACATTGTTGGGTTCCTTTCATGTTCATGTAAAAAAATACATGAAAAAAAAGGGGCATTAAAATACGTCAAAAATGCTGACCATTTCACCACTGCCGAAAGTGTGTTCTAGCTAGCAAGCATTGAAGAAGTGTTCACTCGATTAGTGAAGATTAGCTCAGTGCATTTCTGGTTCATTAAGCCATTCACCACCAGGTGGTGCCACTGTCGCAGACGTTATTGTTTACACAGCTAGTATGCATGGTAATCCATAAGTGCTAATAATAGCAGTGTTACACTGCCTGATTGGAATCAAGTGATTGATCATGATCGTCAACAAAGGTGGCCACGTGACACACACCAGTGTATATGTAGCCAAAGTGAAACGCCTGCATGCCCGATGGCTGCAGATGGGTGTGCTGCGGTGTCGGTTGGAGAGCAAGTCAGAGGCCCTGCTCATCCTCACACGGGACCTGGAGCAATGCCAGAGTGAGCGCGACCAGTTCAAGCTCATGGCCGACCAGCTCCGCGAAAGACACGGCGAGCTACGCAGGCGCCTCCAGGCCTGGGTCAGTCTCCCCTCTTCTTTCAGGGCACAACATTTTATTACCACACATGCGAGCATAGTCCTACGCAGGGGCACAACTGCTGACAGCGGTTTTAGTTGTGTCAGAGGCATCGTGTGCACTCGGCACCGTAGGTCGACAAAAAAACATGCAAGCTCACTCAGACTTGCTCAAGCAATATATTTTGCCCTTGGTGCTCACTAGGACTGGAACTCATCAAAGTTTTTCTCAACCGAACTAACTCGGACTCATGCTCACTAAAATTTTCTTGCGCTGGACTTGCGAGGACTCAAGCTCATCGAATATTTCTCACCTGGACTCAATGAGACTCACAGCTCTATATGTGTCTGAATGAGTCTGAGTGAGTGAATTGATAAGTTCATTAGCATATAATTACTGTTTTGTCATTGCTCTTTAAAGGGCCAGTCACCAGGTCCCATAACAATCAATCAGGGAGTTTTATTGTGACAAAAAGGATAAATACAGAGTCAGAAATATACAGACGAGGGTCCCAAAGTTCACGACTGCAATGGGGCCCTCAAATATAGTTACAAATGAATAAAATAATCATAACCAGCAGTCTGAACTGAAAAATCAAAACAAGGAATATACAACGAAAATGAAAAGCAAAAAGGCAATAAACCAAAAACATAGCATATAATGAGTGCACTTTAAAGCAGCAAAACTCTGGTGCAAGTGAAGAAACAAGGAATGCCTAAACGAGAATAAAAAAACGAAAAGACATGGAACGAAAAAACACATCAATATATTACAATACAAATCTGGTACTCTTAAAGAAAAAGGAACTTCATAAATTCAACAAATATTGCTTCACTGAATTTAAAAAAAAATCAAAGAAATTTATATTTTAGTGATGAGGGTAAGGAGTTCTATAATTACAGGACACAGAAGTGTGAAGATGATTTACCATATTTAGTATAAATCTTAGGAAGCAGGAAGTTATTGTTAGCTGCAAACCTGGTAGTGTTAGTATTTACTAAAAGTTCATATTTAATGAAACTAGTAGAAAGTTTGTGTTATTTGTTTATGCAGAAACATAATTAGATTGAATTTAAATAAGTTGCCAACAGTTAAGATGCTATTACAATAGAGGAGGTGAGCGATGTTACTGTCATGAGCACTGTTAAAAATAACGTAAAGAGCTGTATTTTCTAAATGCTGTAAGGATGAAAGATGACACTGTAAGGATGAAGATGAGGGTTGAGTTATTGGCACTCTTTGCATTGGTCTTACATGTAGCAACATGAAAGACGTACCTGTAAGTTAAAAAATAGAATTTCTCATGTTGCACTCTACTGTGTATATAAACACATTGTGTGCATAACAATGTGGGTGGTCTGGGAGCTCAAACCCCTCCACTCTCTGCAAAATATTTCTGGTTACGCCCCTGGTATGCCACGCTCATGGACACATCCACATTCATCACATCAACATATCCTGAAAAGTAGATTGTCCGAGTGAAAAACATGGTATAACTGCTTCAAGGGAAACGTTTTGTCATCTTTTTTTTTCCATTGCAAAACTGTTCTAGCTGCTGCTTCTCCCGCCTTTGTTGCACATGTTTCATTCTTGAACACATGAAGACATGTTAGGCGTACTTTAGTATTTAAGTATTTTTAAAGGGGCTTTATACTGACTTTTATGTCTCTCTGACTTGCCAACTGCTGTATGTGTTAAATTTTATGAAATTTACTTTAGAATTCACCTTTTCGAGATATTGCACTTATACTGAATTGCTGCATAAATGATGCATATAGCTTTTACATGTTTATCAACAATAAACAGCTTTGAGTTTGGTACCTAGGTCAGGTGTTCACATATGTAGTGCCTCCAAATGATGCAACTGTGTGCACATTATACTCTAATTATTCGTGGGATTAGCATTCCAGCCCCTATTTTTTCAAGATAGCATGAGTAACGAAGCCGTTTTCAAACCTTCTCTACCTGGATTCTGTGAAAATCTAAGTGCAGTTCCCCTGTGTTTGGGTTTACAAGGGGCAAACTCAGTTAAAAAAAAATTGTGGCACACTTAACAAAGCCGAGAAATCCGTGACCCTGGTAACCAATTCTAAGTTTTTTTAATTGTGAGTTTATTTACATGTGTGGCACTTTATTTTCCTCCTGTATCTGTAATCTTACATGCACTTTGTAGGATTTTTAAAATCATACATATTGAGTGCACTTGGCCCTTTCCTCCACTATGGCATTGAAAACGCTTTGTTGTGATTCCTTGTTCATAGACGTCTTCTTGCCTTTCTACATCAGTAGATTGTTTGCTTCTGCAGTGCTGTAATTCATGCTGATGTTGTGCATAAATATGAGAAACATGAATAGAATAATGATTTATTGATGAATAAAACACGGTGAAGCTGGTGTCTTAGAAGCCTTTGCCTCGCCAATAACTTTAGCTGGTTGAATGAAGTGGAGTGAAGTGGATTATATGAAATGGGAGGAGTGGTGGGAGTATAGTAGTGGGAGTAGTGGGGCATGATGGAAGTTGCAGTGGCACCTACTCGTACTGCCCCCAATCATCAAAGCCTTAACTGAGAATGGCTTCGCTGTTAGAAGAGAATAGTCTCACACTAAGACTTTGGACCATAATGCTGTGTGTGTGGAGCGAACATCAATAATCTTAACTGCTCCCTTCTTTTTGTGTGCAGAGTCTGGCACAGCTGCTGTGTGACTTGAAGGAGCAGAACCGACGTCTGCAGGCGGAGAACGAGTCGCTCGGCCAGAAACTCCGTGAGGCTCTTGAAGATGCCAAGGCACGTATATGGGCCTCTTTTCATGTGAACGAGTCACTAAGGAACAGTTGAGTAGAGCAGTGAAGTAATCGTGGAATTTCTTCAATACAAACTTTAACTCTTCTTTTGAGGCTTTGTTATTATAGCATGAAGCACAAAAGCAAAACATGATCTCCTTGCAGCTGCTCAATTTTGCAGCTGCATTTAACTGGGCTTAACAAACAACAATCACTTCTCTGAATGGTACAAAAAAGGTCAACTCTCGGCTACCTACTGGCTAAAATATGTTTATTGTTTTTTTTTTGTTCGGTGCTTAAAAGTTCAGCTGCGATCTGAGCATACCAACTTCGCTCTGAAATGTGTGCAGCTTCTTCGAGAGCAGGTGCAGGAGCAGGGATGCAGTCGCCGTCTGTCTGACCCATGCGCTCAGTGCTCTGCCAAGCAGGACCGCCAGGAGCTGGTGCGACAACTCGAAGTGCTGCAGTCAAGGGTCAGTGACCTCGCTGTCTTTTGCTGCCATGGCATGAGGTTTCATTCACAGGGCCATGCATGAGGAAACTTTGCAAGATGAATTCATTTGGTGAAGAAGTAATACCACAAAGTAGACATGGGTAAATATTCGAGAGCTTCAAGTATCTCAGTACATATTTGAACTTTTCTCAAAACAAATTTGAAATATTCCAAATTTTATGTTACACAAAAAGCAATGAATGAACATATATTAGACGACATATAACCCCCATGTAAAGGCCCCATGAAACCACCTATTCAAGGGAAATTCGCACGTTGGTTGGAGGCATCGAAGCTTGTTATATAGACGGCTTCAAGGTTGCAAGCGTTGTAGCCCAAAAAACTTCCGGTCACCTCATTTACCAGCTTCTAACGTCAGAACTGAAAGCACGTTTTCAAGTTCTTTTCAGGGGTAAGGAAAGTTACTCTTTCATTTTTCACCAAAAAGGAACGTGCGTAAAGTACAAGGGAATGTTTCATAATTTTTATGTAGCTCTAAATAATATTTATTTGAATATATTTTCCCAAATAAGGGTAGGAAACTGTAAGTCAGCGGTATATTTTCTAAAGCTCTTGTTGTTCACTGATGCTATAAAAGCACATTGGTAGACAAAACCCTACATCATCAAGGGCAGGTGTTTCTAAACAGTGGAAGGGTCTATAGGTCTATAGGCACAAAGTATAATATATTCTAAGATGTAATGTATTTCACCACTTATAACTTGCAGCCTATTGCTATTGAAATTTAGTAACTGTTTAAAGTTACTTCCACTTCACTTCCAGCCAAGAAAGGGACATTTTTCACATGCCTAGTTCAAAATGCTATTCTTTCTTTATGTGTGATGTGTACTATTTAACCTATTCAGTTTGAAATTATTTGGCCAAATACTATTCACTTTTAATTTGCTTTGAAGCTCAGATAGTACTATTTGCCCATTTCTACTACTGAATGATACACTACAAGATAGCTTTAGAAAAATGCAGCCTTGTAGAAGCTGGCATGATAAAAGAAAGTGAATGAAAAAGTGAAATTTTATTGCAGTAGTGGTTGAATGTAAAAAACCTGGAGGCACTGCACCAACCAAAGTAAAAGTTTAAAAAGAAAAAACACAAAAAAAAACCCTTTTGGCTCCCACACGGAAACCTTGTTCATAATGGGAAAAAAAATGAAATTTTTTTTTCACTGTGAACAAGGCTTCCCTGTGGGAGCCGAAACGTCATTTTTCTGTTTTTTCTTTTTAAACTTTTGCTTTAGTTGGCGCAGTGCCTCCAGGTTTTTTATTTTCAACCATGTATCATCTCGACCAGACAGGCCTCCGTCAAATTTTAAACTTCATTGCAGTAGTCCTCAGTTTTAATTCCAGTTCAGGACAAACTTTGAGGAGCACACTCTTGAAATAACTGGGTCCTTTTAAAATGGCTTGAAGTAATGCTAAAATAAATACCCTAATCAGAAAAATTACACTTACCAACAGTCTCAGACAATGAGAGGATTTATCCTAAGGGAAGATTTAAAGACGATCATATGAGGCAGTGATGACCTAATACAGACACGAGGGAAAAATCTAAAGCTGTGAATTCTTGTGACATAATGAATTTTGGGCATTACACAGTTTGTAGCTAAATTGTTGTAGTTTCACTCTCCCACAGTGCATAGCTTAATCATGGAAGAGTGCAGCTCATTGTTGGCAGTGACTCAAAAGAAACATGTATGCTTACTTACCGGATTACCGTGAGGCCACTGTGAGGCGAGCAAGATAAAAAAAATTAAGGTACTCGGGAACTTCAAAAGAGTTGACTGTGAGGCAAGTCAGGGCTTTGACACAGAAACCGTCGTGAGAGCGCAACCAAAAACACAATGCGAGCACAGAGCTCGCATTAAATCCGTTCGATGCACCTGCACCAATCAAAACCGGTTCACGGCTGTGCACGCAAAGTTCATGAATTTTGCCGTGCGAATTTAGCGTTGCAGACACAGCGCGACACCCGAAACGAAGGACGATGTTCCAACAAGGTGCAGGCCTAATTTCTGTTCACCTAATTTACTCCGTTCGACTAACACTTCATATGTCACATTTTATGTCAAATTACCTTTGTATAACAAATGTGTGATCCCCTCTAGATTCTATATACCTGTGCTTGACTCTGACAGTAACCAAGAAAAGCAAAACAAAAGCCTACTACTTCAGCTTCCCTCCCCTCCCCACTTTCCTCCGCTTTGTATAGGTACACTGACAGAACGGGGAAAAAAAATCCAAGGAATCACACCCAATGTATCAAGTGTTGGGAAATTTTGTTCATCTGGCGTGGCCAAAATACAAAAACTACACTTTGAAATTCGCAATGTCTCATGCAGAGGTTTCGGCACGAAATATAAGAACGAAACTTTGTGCTTGATTTGTCCTCTAAGCTGTGATGGTGAAACGAATGCCATTAGGGTTTTCAGAGTGCAATATATCAATATAAACCTATTGACTGGTTCACTTTATCGTCCCTTTAAGCCATAAGCTGATGTATATATTCTTCCAGAGCAGAGCAGTGTGCAATGCATCTGTTTGTTATTCAGCAGCACATTCTTCTGATTTTAATAGAATGTTTGCATTGCATGTTTTCCAGTTACTATGTTGTTCTTTTTTTTTTTTTTTTGTCTCCTGAGAAGCCTGTTTGAGGGGTTCTACTGTGCCTTATATTTGTGTCCATGTTAATTGTACTGATTCGTGATCATATGTTCTGCCCTCCCTTCTTCTTTTTCTGATGATCCCCGCAGTGCTCGATGTTGGAGTGTGACCTGCAGGCCGTGATAGACGAGAAAGAGGAACTGGTGCGGACGGGCGACGCGTACAGGCAGAAGGTGGATCGACTCAACCTGCAGCTCAATCAGGCACTGCGCGGAGGTGCTGACTACGTACCACTCGACGTTGATGCCTTACTCATGGAGAACAGGTCTGGATGGCATTTTTTGCGCAGTCGTGAAGGCTATTGTAGTCTTATGGCTGTAGGCACTGCATTCATTGTGGCAGTAGCTAACAGCAGTCATTAATTTTAGGTGAGGTTTGATAAAATTAAATTATACATTTCGTCCTACGTAACAGATTGCAGCCCCGCCATGGTGGTCTAGTGGCTAAGGTATTTCAACTGCTGACCTGCAGGTCACGGGATCAAATCCCAGTGGGGCTGGCTGCATTTTCGATAGAGGCAAAAATGCTGCAGGCCCATGTGCTCAGATTTGGGTGCACGTTAAAGACCCCCAGGTGGTAGAAATTTTCGGAGCCCTCCACTACAGTGTCTCTCATAATCATATGGTAGTTTTGGGACTTTAAACGCCACATGTCAATCATGTAACAGATTGCAAGCCGTTACTCAATTATGTCAATTCATGTTGTGCTTCATGTAACTAGACTGCAGTGTCAAAACGCATGCACCTTATAAAAGAATGTTACAGTGTTGATTCTGTAAGTGTAATGTACATGCAGACTTGTCATGGTGGTATAGTTACTGCACTTGTTAAAAAGGCTAATAAAATTGCAATAATCTGCAATTTTAATAGCTACTGAGCCACATAAAAATGAGCCCATGCAAACAGATCGCACGATTGACCTAGCCACGTTTGACCTAGCCTCCCTAATGGGAGATGGTTCAATTTTTCAGAGAATCGTCCTTTTGTTAGGCTTTACCAAATATATCAGTAAGCCGAAGTAAAGCATGGGAGAGGGTGTTTAGTTGTGTAGTAATTATGATGTGAAATAAAAGTGATTAAGAATGAACCTTGCGTACAATGGTCTAGCAATTGGAGAATAAAGAAATCCTGTTATAACGTGCATTTCTAGGCGAAGCCATTGTTCAGCATTTTAAAATATTTTCTCCCACTGTGAACCATAATTGCTGTGCGTACAAATTCATCTAAAATACATCGTGAAATCTGTAGTTCCTACAGCTTTTTGATCTTTCATATTCTATGTCCAAACCCACACTGCCTTCCACATCCAGCCTGTGCCTTTTGGTTGGGCAAGGCAATGCTACGTACACCCCTATAATTTGGCCATGCTGCATCCGCATTCGGGAAAATCAGATTTCTGGTTCCTGCCTCTTGCTTACCAAACCCGCATTGCCTTCAACGCCCGGCCTGTGGCTCTTTGATAGGTGAGGAAATTCTCTAAGTACCCGTGTCCTGCAGCAAAAGTGTCTCTGCACCTGCAAGGATTCGCCTTCTAGTTCCAGCCTCTTGCTTATCTAACGCAGATTGCCATCGACGCCTAGCCTGTGCCTCTTAGATAAGTAAGGCAAGCCTTCGGAAGCACGTGCCTTACAGCAATGCCGTCTCTGTCCACAAGTACTTGCCACGAGGTTTCTACCTCTAGCTTGCCTTCATGCTAATGCACCGTACAAGAAAGTCCATCGCGCAGGCCTGCACTTCTACCTTCACTCCATGTGAGGAGTCTCTAAGGCGTTGCTGCTCGCCATCACTCGTGTGTGACCATTAGTGAATGAAGAGTGGGTGACAGACTTTATCTTGGCTTGCTCGGCGAGACATGCCAGTGATCTCTCGATCCACTTTGAGCTACGAGCTGCCCTTGAACTGTTGTGCTGCAGTTACATGTCGGTGGTCCACAACCTATTAACGTAAAGAGCTGTTTGAATGGTAGTCCCAATGTTTACTGAATATACAGATCCAAGGTTTACGGAAGTGGCATAATATCACCTGGTACAGCGGGCTGGCTCATAGCTAAGAATTCTTTGTAGAATGCACGAAGTATTGTGTACAAAGCAACACATTTAAAATTCTTGTTGATTACATACTGTCCTCATGATATAGTTTTGACGAAGACACGGTTGAATAATGCTATAACAAATAACTGTATGCTACCACTAAGATAGAGAATTTTCCGCTGGGACATGGACACCCGAGGTGGTGGTGTGGCACTGATAATTACAAATAATGCAGCATCAAAAACAGTACATTGCCACTTGCCAGAAACAGTGTGGTGCAAGGTGAATTATGCTAATTACACACATCTAATTGGAGCAATTTACAGACCACCCGGAACTCCACCCAAGTTTTGAGAAGAATTCAATATGTTTCTGTTTGATCATGTGAATGAAAACACAAAACTGATAAGCGCTGGCGACCCTAATTTGCCGCATATAAATCTGGCAAGCTTTTCAACTGGGCATGTGGAAACATGTTGTGCTGATGGGTTATTACCATTTGATGTTTTCACGCAACCTCACACAAATCCTAATAGATTGCACACGCATTACCCCTACGTCACAGGCATTGTAGGGCTTGCTTTTCATATTAAGTAAGGTGACTGATTATGCTATACCAGTTGAAGACGGCATATCAGATCACAAAATGGTTGCAGTTAATGTGTTTTTGATACCGGTTTTTGAGCGAAGCGCCATGTGTATGCACATATCTAAGATTAACGCCGTGCTGATCAAACGACCATCCTAGACTTTTTAGAAATGTCGCTTGGTGAGTTTGAGAACGAATCAAAGAACGAGTCTGTTGAACAGCTACAGAAACGTTTAAAGAAATTATTAGGTACTGCTCGAATAACTTCATACCCATTCGAGCTAACAAAACAAAACGAAGAAATTCATCAATAATTTGGTACAAAAATAATTGAAATGAAATGTAAATAAAAAGGTTTTGCAAGATTGATAAGGCCTCGATAAAAATATCATGTGCCAAGAAAAACTAGAGTAAAGAATGTGCCTTCCGAGAAACACTTTTTAATAACACACTCACTAACTTTCTAAAGAACTCACCTCCTTAGTGTTGGCTGTTTTTCAAGAAGTGAACGAGGAATTGATATTATAATAGATGGAAAGGATAGACTGAAATGTGGGGTTTAACCTCTCAAAACCATCATATGATTATGAGAGACGCCGTAGTGGAGGGCTCCGGAAATTTCGATCACCTGGGTTTCTTTAGCATGCGCGCAAATCTGAGCACACAGGCCTACAACATTTCCGCCTCTATCAGAAATGCAGTCGCCGTGGCCGGGATTTGATCCCTGCGACCTGCGGGTCAGCAGCCGAGTAGCCTTAGCCACTCGACCACCACGGCGGGGCAATATGGAAATGAAGTTTTAACAGAAAAATCAGATATAGCTGGAACCCAATCAAGTGTTTCAATCTCTTTTCTGTAAGGACCAGGGGTTCAAAGAGGTATATTAATCGGGTACTACAGCGACACTTCAAGCAGATGACATAGATATTACTAAAGAAGGCAGCTTCAATCAACTAGTTCTTTTAGATAGAAAAAAGTCATGTGGACCTGACGGCATACCGAATATATTTTTGCGACGGTTTATGGAGTGGCTGTCATACTACCTGTAGATTATTTTTAAGAAATCATTAAAAAGCCTCACGTCACCTCAAGATTGGCATAGAGAAATTGTTGCACGAGTTTATACAGGTGGCGATGGAACGACCCTGAAAAATTACAGGTCTGTTTCACTTACGTCAGTGTGTTACAGATTATTTTATCATACTGTAAAAAACATATTCGACAATTTTTAGAACAAAATGAATTATTATGTCACCTACAGCATAGATTTTGCAGAGGCCTTACAACTGTCTCACATCTGATCGAAACTATACATGACTTGTATATTGCTGTAATGCCTGTATGCAACTTGATCTTACATGTACAGACATTTCAAAAGCATTCGACAGAGTTTTTCACCGTAAACTGCTGCTCCAGCTTTGCAACTTTGGCATTAGTGAGAATCTTTTCAATTAGATCGGAGCTTATCTGGGCAATCGACAACAAGCAGTTAGAGTGGGAGATGCCATTTCGGAAAATAGAGAGGTGTATTCGGTAGTGCTGCAGGGGTCTACATTGGGGTCCCTACTCTTCGTGTTATGCATAAAGCACATTTGATCAGTTATCCAATCCACTAGTAAAACTAAGCTATTCGCAGATGACTGCCTAATCGATTGTCTGATAGCATGCAAAGAAGATCAAATAAAAATATATCAGTGCTTACAAACCTTAAACTTATGGCGTTCTAAATGGGGTATGGAAATAAAGCAATAAAAAATCCACTTACACACATATTACAAAAAAAGGAAGTGCTTTTTTTTGCGTATAACATTGGTGATAATACGCCAGTGAAATTATGTAGTTTTATGTATTATGACAGATATATTATAAAATTATATATTATAACTATGACAGATAAATTGAACTGGCGTACTCATATAACAAATATTTGTCAGTCAGCATATCAAAAGTTGTGCTTCCTACGAAGGAAATTACCCTGAAACACGAAATATATCAAGCTGCTTGCCTACAAAACGTATATCCGTCCGTAGTTGGAATACGCTAGTGTTTTGTGGAGTCCACATGAGAAGGTTTTAAACATCACAGTATCTCCGCTGACTAAATGATGATTGGTATGGAGAAGCATTCATCCTCCGTCCGTGCATTTGTCCACCCATTCTTTCTTGCTTCCGTCCGTCCATGCGGACGTCAATGCGCCCTTCCATGCTTCCGTCCATCCATGTGATCATGGGTGCATCTGGCCGTTCATACGTCCCTCCGTCTAGTGAACAATCTGAGTACGGCCATGTCAAATCTCGCAACCCCTGTGGCACGTACCCGCTCTAGAGTGGTATGTGCCACTGGTGGCTTCAATCATACATACATACATACATACTTACTTACATACATACATACATACATACATACATACATACATACATACATACATACATGCATACATACATACATACATACATACATACATACTGCAACGAGCAAGGTTGCGTAAAAACACAGGTTATTATTCGAGAAACATTAGCCGCAACAAGCTGGTACAGGCAGGAACCCGGCAAGCACGAGCCACACACGGACGTCAACGTCTTCTTTCACTCTGGCACAGAGCTGGCACCACTATGCTTCGGGACAATTACTCCCCGCGCAGAGAGGA